GCAAGGAAGAATCCGAGAAAAAAAACACTATCCACCAGGTGTAAATGTATAAACTGGCTGTTATGCTTTCCCCCTCTATTCTCCCTTTTTTATCAGGTTCCCCATACTAAATAACAAATAAGCACATTTCCTGCATTTGCGGACTCGTGATAATTTCCGAATGCCCTTTTCGCCACCTCCTGCTGCCTGCCAGCATCCTTTTAAAGATACGCCCACCCGATCCAGGCAAAATATTCTAAACGCAGCTGCGCTGTAGAATTCTATCAGAGAAAAACAGATTCTGGCTGTCTTATTTCCTCTCTCTTTCATGGCATCCCCTACTTGGCAATTTTCTTTTTTTTATTCCGCCACTGGAAGACGAGTTGATGATTTCCCTGAGCTGTTCACCCGAGAACACTTTCCCAGGTCGCCTCTCTGTCTTGTATCCTTGAATGCTAAGGAAGAAGGTTGTGCTTTGTTTTTAATTTGTGCCAAGATGCACCTCCTTCTCCATCTATTTATCATCACCATCGTCTCAGAACTTTGTACCACGCTGACCAGCTTGGAGCTCTCCTTCGAAACAATTTTTATTCACTCAATATACTTGAATTTCTCAACCGTAGATCCATCCGCTGTTTGGGGAGGAGCTGCAGCGCATAAGTCAAGTTGCCTCCCAAGTGGATTTTTGGTCTGGAAAGATTGCCACCTCCTTTCAGTTCCGAAACTCTGATCCGTAACCTGAACATCCTTCATGACTATGCCTCTCAAACCAGGTTCCCTTGGGCAGAACATGCAAGGTTTTTAAAATCTGCAAAACCCCAAGGCAGCCGACCCATAATTGCTTTGGGTGATGCATCCATTTTGGTCAAAGGCAAACAACTGGGGGCTGTCTCCAGGTGTTCTTAAACTTTAAATCCCCCTGGCCTGAGCGCTGCATAACTGATGCTGAAGGTAGCGATGATCTGCAGGCTGATGGAGATGTCAACCCATGACTCATCCTTAAGCTACACGTCTGATGTAAACGGATAATGATCTGGGGCCAGATCATTATCAACAACAACCATCTTAGAACTGCAGAGGACAAAGGGACTCTATGGATCATCCAGTCCACCCGGCCGAATGGGGCCAGATCATTATCAGCAACAACCACCTTAGAACTGCAGAGGTGGAAGGGACTCTATGGATCATCCAGTCCACCCCCTGTCCAGGAGGTACAGTGGGGAGATTCAAACTCCCAACCTCTGCCTCCACAGCCAGAGACCTAAACCTCTGAGCTATCCGGCAGTTTGATTATCTTAAAGTTTGCCTCTGGAGAATCTTCAGTATATTGATAGGCCTCCAACAGGAGCTAACTTAGACGGAGTCTGAGTACACGGAAATGATAAGATTATTCGGAGGATCCACGTCTCATGCAATTCAGAAAAGTAACTGGCCTTCACTCCTGTTGGACAGGAACTGAGAATGCACCCAGGGGGGACTATAAGGTATTTGAGATGCACAAATTTTTCAGACTTCCAATCCCAGAATCCCTTTTAATTATACACTCTCAAGTCAATTCTGATTTATGTTGACCCTTTCCAGGGTTTTCCAGGTAGACAATACTCAGAAGTGGTTTCCCCTTCCCTTCCTCTAGAGGGCACCCTGGGATTGTGCAGCTTGCCCAAGGCTACCCAGGCTGGCTCTTTTCCAAAGTAGGGGACTGAGCGCCCAACCTCTAACTCTACAGCCAGATACTTAACCACTGAGCCTATCCAGTCAGGACAGAATCCCCAAATCAGTAGAAATGCAAAAAGAGAAGCATAAAATATCCGGAGGACCAACGTTCAAGAACCTTTCCTTAGAACTCAGCCAAAATTGGAGTCCATTGTTTATACGACTCCCCTTTTCCCATTTTCATTTCTTTTCTCGGACTGGGACAAACAGATACAACAAAGCAGGGTATGAGATGGGACAGGTCAGTAGGAATGGAGTTCCACGCTGTGAAATATATTTTTAAATACTCTGACCTTAAACAGCATGGAAAGTTCAACAAAACAAAATCACCTTCTCTACCCATCCACACAGAGGGTATTGCTCTAGCCAATATTATAGCAGGTAGGGTCAAGACTTTTAAAGAATACAGGATGGAACCCTGGCTTGAGAGGAAGACATAACTGGAATAGATCTAAAGCCTTGCATTTAAATAAAATAAAAAGCACACGGGTATGATTGGGGAAACCCAGCTTGGCTGAAATAACCTATGAAACAACAGGTGAAAAAGGGGTGGATGTTTTAGTGGACCAAAGCTGAATACGAGGCAGCAGTGTGATGCAGCAGCTACAAAGGCTAATGCAATACTGGAATGCATCAAGAGAAGTGGAGAGTCAAGGTCACAGTTAAAACAGTTCCGCTCTGTTCTGCATTAGTTGGTTGACCTCTGGAGTGTTGTGACCTGTTCTGGGCACCATGTCTGAAGAAGGGCACAAAGAAATCAAGGCAACCTACAGAGAACATCAGCTAGCATGGCGAAGGGTGTAGCCTGTGTCCTACATCACAGCATCTTCAGTGAGCAGGTGACTTAAACGTAATCAGTGGTTCTCAACCTTTCTCATGGTCAGAAATTCTGGGAGGAGACGTCCCGCACGACTGGATGGTCCAAAGTTGGGAACCCCTTGTATAGAGGACCACCAGGACCATGTCCAGCTCTATGATTCTCAACTCCCTGGGTGCCATAAAGGAAAAAGTCCCATTGCACCCTAGCCTATCCCGCACGACTGGATGGTCCAAAGATGGGAACCCCTTGTATAGAGGACCAGCAGGACCACATCCAGCTCTATGATTCTCAACTCCCTGGGGTGCCAAAAAGGAAAAAGTCCCATTGCACCCTAGCCTAGTTACAGGCATCTAACAGGGTGGGATGGTTCTGCATCTTGGATGGCTCTTTTAAAGTTCGGACTAAAACCGGGAGTGGGTGCATTATCCCATAATACTGGACTCACTAGCCTCCGTTGGGTGGGAATCTACTGCCAATCAAGTTGGCGATTAAGCATGCAAACCTTTCTCTTGTTATACAGTCCTATTTACAGCTCCCGGCTTCGTTAAGCGGCCTCAGTGGATAAGGAAAAATGTGCTCTGAATAAACTCAGAGGCAGAGTTTGCACCTCAGCCTTAGACAGCGTAAGGTTCTGGGCAGGAATTAAGGGGTGGTCTGCTTGGTAAATGAGCAGGAGACACTCCTCCCCCCCAAAAAAAACACCACCAATAAACCAGTGGATGGTTTTTGGTCTTAGAAGGAAGGGGATATGCCCTCAAAATTTTAAAGTAAGCCACACACAGTTCTTATATACACCAAAAGCTACTCCCCACACATACACATTTAACAGTGGGAGTCACTTCTTAAGAGCCTGGGATTGTGTTTACACTTTTCAATACTGCGGTCGCATGATTCATGAGACGAAATGCAGGTGAAAGAGAGAGATGGGAGCAGGGAGAGGTCACACAAGGAACTGTGGGAAAGAGTTCCTCTGAGCATATGCTGAGCCCAGGAATGTGTCGTGCTCCACCACGGGCCAAAGAAGTAGCCGTGCAAAGTCTGTCTCGGCACGCTGGCAAAATTAAAAGGAGGAAAAAAAGACAAACTACGTATTCAAAGGCAACCGTTTGTGATGGTGGATCGCAGCCAAATTCGTACGTTCTACTCCACACCCATCCCTGCTTGGTTCTCCACATCCTGCAAGCCGGCTTTTTCAAAAAAAAATAAAATTTAAGGTGCAGGGTTGGCGTGGTGGCGACAGGAGACAAGTTACCGTTCATGCTATTATTTGATTATTCAGGGGCAAACATCCCTGTTAATGTCCTGGAGATTAAGCAGAGATCTCTCAGCAGATTCTAACCGACATGCTACAATGCTGGGATCTCAAGATTCCTGTCAGGTTCACCATGCCCAGAGATCACAATCGCCAAGCAGCACCACAGTAGTCTGTACACGTGACAAAAAGAGAGAGAAGGGAGAATGGAGAGAGAGAGAGAGAGGTTTTGAGAGAAGGATAGACAGATGGAATGAGGGACCCCTATATTTCCCAAATCAGGCTAGGCTATCACTTCCTCCTGAGGCTCTTTCTCTCTAAACTCTAAGCAGACTTCATCAAATATACACTTTCTTGTTTTCTTTGCTGGTCCTTTTCACCCTGAGGACTAGAATCTGGGCTGATGCAGTAGTAAAGTTGGAAATAAATTGCATCGGGACAATTCCCGCAGCCAGGTTCCCGCAGCCTGCCCCAAACCCACGCCAAGGGGCTGTGTCGATCCAGGTGAACCAACCCATCTCAACTGTTTTCATCGCCATCCGGAACGGGTCTTTTGTAAAGCCAACAGCTCTCCCTGGCCCATTCAAGACCAAGCAAATTCAAAACCCTCCCCAAGACAGACCGGGGCAGCTCAGCAAAATATAACTGTTGTTTTCTCCTCCAGAGTCTGTGTCTGGAGGGGGCAAGGAAGCAGCACGGGGGTGGTGGTGGCTTGAGTTGGGATGAGTTGGTGGATGATGTCATGGCACCTCGCTCATCCCAAAGCCCCCTCCCTCCAACCCGCTCCATTACACCTGCGTCCTCCTGGGGCCGGCCAAACCAATCGCTCCAGCTGGAAGGAAGCCCAAGCGACAGAGGGGGTTTCCTTTCACGTGGCCCGTTCCCCCCCCGGGCGGGATCAGAGCCTGGGGGGGGGCAAACCCGAAGCAACTCCCCTCCTCCCCGCCTTGAAGAGCGCAATACAACCCCCTGCCACCCGCGTTACTCCGTTACTGCTTTGGTAACGCGAGCGCCCCTCCTCTCGTTACTCGTCCAGAGGATCCCAGCGTGGCGGGCAGGAGGAAACCCCCCCCCAAAAAAAGGCAGGCGGATGCCAATCGGGGAAGGAACCCCCTTCTGGATCCCTCCGGAGGGCAGTTTTGGAGGTGCCCAGGGGGAGATCCCTCCCCCCAAAAAAAAGATCCCACCCCCTCCCCTCCATACCCCTCCCCATCCACCCGTCCGCCTTCCGCTTACTTGTCTTCCTCGCTTTGGCAGTCAAAGCTCACCCCTTTGCGCAGCAAGGCGTCGCGGCGGCTTTTCAGTCGGGACAAGGGGGCCGCTTCCAAAGCCATGATCCATGGAAACGCCTCGGGAGCCCCGGCTTGAGAAGCGGCCCGAGGCTGCCTGGCTTCAGGCAGGCGAGCAGGCGGGCTCCGGGCTCTCCCTCCTTCCCTCTCCCGCCG